GTGGGCTTCCTGCCATTTTATGTTGAAACACCGATTTCCGTACGATCCCCGAAGTTAAACAACGTCGAATCGTGACAGTCGTTCTTAGTCATTACCTAGCTGAGTAATCGCTTTGGAATACCAGGAGCTGTAACTTTGGATTTTGGTATGGGGGGGTGTAAAGGATAATGGCTCAGAATTGTTAATCGGAGAGCCGAGTTCCATTTCCAATTGGGTATCTTATAATCATTTACGCCCAAATAACCCTGGGAAATTTATAAATCCATCTCTTCCCCCACCAGCTACGGGTTGATTAATAAAACTTGTAACACTAAAACCATTATTATCTAAAAACCAATAGCATAGCGTACAAAATATTTCAATTTCTGGATTTAAATAATCCATAGTGTTGAAATACCGTTAAACAAAAACAACCAACCAATTAACTAATCTTAGGTATTATTTACTGAACTGAACTAAGTCTAGCAGAGGGATATGAGTGTGGCATCTGTGAACATGACGTGGTTATAATAACGCTAAAGCAAATGTCTATGCAGTCTGCTCCCCTGCAGTATTCTCCAGAGATCGATATTTGATCGCCATTCGAAACCCAAAAAAAAAAATTCATTTAAAATTAAAAAAAAAAAAAACGGAATTTCGAATGCCGATTTTCAAGGCAAGCTTGTCCTCAGCATGTAGAAGACTTTTGCGATACAGTCGTTCTACTGCCATACTCGCTTTGTCTATTTAAGTCTTCTGCTGTATTAGCATAATCGTAGTGACGCCGAAGTAACGTTATGAACAATAAACATTTTCCCATTTTATATTGTTTTTAATGATTGATCTTTTTTTTTTTTTATGATTGGGTTTGTGATCATAAAAATTGTTAGTGATTATTCGGGTTTATTTTCCCCATTTTTTTAAAAAAAATTTTTTTTTGTGCTTCTTTTTTAAAAACGAAAATGAAAGAAAAGAAAAAGAAAAGACATATATTAGTGGAATGAGACAGGTGTTCTCGTCTTGAAACGAAATCAATCGAGTGACTTTTTTTTTTGGTGGGGGGGGGTGACGAGACGTTGTTATGGTTAATATAGTGATTGCCAGGCTAGATAAAAATGATGGAAGTACAAAATTAGAGAATAAAAATCCGTTGTGTTTATTAAACTTAAAGAAAAAAGTAAATGAAAGAAGAATTGAAAAATAAAAATCCTCTACCAGACAGGGTACAAAAATGGTTAGGCTTTTTATTTTATTTATTTATTTATTTATTTATTTGCTGTTTGTTTTAAAATGTGCTTCTTTTTGGACGTCATACCTATAAAAGTGAAAATCACTTTCGAAAAAGAGAAAAAAAAATGCACATAATAAAATACATTACATAATTTAGAGTTTTAACACCCAAAAATATTCGCCAATAAAGTAAATTTAATTTTAAAATCGGTGACAGGTCTTTCCTATTTACGCTTATTTGTAGACTCTTTCTAAATATCTGCACACACGCACACAGAGCGTAAAAGAGTTGCGCTGTTTCCTAAAATAGTTCCAGGTTCAATCTTAAGCCACCGATGTAAAAACTCGTTACCAGGTATGGTGCCACTAATTAAAAGTGTTAGTCGGGAGGGGAATACGTCAGATATTAAGTTTTAAAGATTTCCGTGTCTATATCTCTTTTGGCTTAACCCTCAGCGATTTATTTATTTATTTAAGTTTTATTATTTATATAAGTGAGTTGTCGTGTAAGGAATTTCGGCTCCAAATGAGAAGTCGGAGAGCCGAGTTCGAATTCTAGTCGACTCCGTTACATTCACTTACGCACAAACACTTTTGGAAAAGGTATGAATCCATCTCTTCTCACCACTCTGCCCACCTGCTATGATTTGAATATCAGGGCAGACTGAGTTCTATAGCCTTGGTTGGCAGCCAGTCTACCGCAAAAAGAAATGGCAACCTACTGTGGGAAATCTTCTGCCTTGTCAGTCATGAACCGAAACAGACATGAGCGCCCAAACGTGTATCACGACACTTGACTGACTGAATTCTATGTGTCGTGTCCTTTCAGGATGTTGGCGATTATGGCTCTCCACAATTTCCTGTTCTTTGTAGCGCTTAATAAATTTTATCTTTTTGTTATCCCTCCTAAACCCTATTCTGTCATCCATTTGATCAAGCTCGCTAGATAGGTTATGCGTTGTTTTCCTCTGTCTCTTCAACCTGTCCTGTGAGTATCAAATTTACTAAGCCCTCTTTCCTCATTATGTACCCTAGAAATTTCAACTGTCTCTTTCTAATGTTAAGTGTAAGTGTTTTTTTTTTTTGTTTTGTTTTTTTTTTTTTTTTTTTAATTACAAGAGCGTGTCTCAATCAGATGTTAAAAGTGTAGAGGGAGATAAGTCAGTGATAAGGGTTTAAAAGTTCTGGATTTGTGATTTTTATCTGATTCTCAAAAAATAAATATTTTTTGTACTTGTAAGTATATTTTCGTTTTCATTTTGAATACACTTTTTTTTAATATTTGACCTTTACTAGTTTTCGGAAATATGATCTACGCACTTTTTCGCATCAACGACTTAACGTATTATTGAAGACCTTATTTTAAAGCTAATTTTAAGAGGGTCGCATCATACATGAGATATAAAATTAGCGTATGTTCTGCTGACCCTTGCTACGCCGTTGACTAAGCTATATATACTTTTACTACAATCAAATTAGCTTCAAAATTACGTCTTTGATAATACTCGATTATATACGGTATATAATAGTTTTAAAAGTTTTTTTTTTTTTAAATTCATAATTTATTTTTAAAATTAATGGTTTTAGACAAATGATACCGCTCAGCTCAATGAAGTTATCATAGATAAATTCAATCCCTTTTTTAGTTCCTGGTTTCAGCCAAAATTGTGGTATGGTGACTGGAGACTCAAAAACATCTTTCGCAAAAGATTATTTCTCCAAAATGTTATACAAGGCCGTAGATAAATCCACCGACATATATGTAGTGTGAAATTGACTTTGAATCTTAAATACATGACTCTACACAAAAACCGGTTTATCACTTCAAGTAATGAAGCAAAAAGTACACCGTAATACAATCACTTAGTTTAATGGATACGGAAGAGCAGATTACAAAGACAAGTGCTGTCAAAACAGCATAAAAAAACCTTAACTTAATAGTATAGCTAGCAATTTTATGACCCGCATTAACAAGATGATCTTGGAAACATTTTCGTCACAAACCAATGACGCCTAAAAACTAAACCGCTAACAGAGTAATATATATATATATATATATATATATATATATATATATATATATATTGAATAATAAAAAATAAAAAATTAAAATCATTAGACACACTGGGTTGTAGATTAATATTCTTTCGTTTTTTTATTATTATTATTCCATTTAGATTCCTCGACTAGTTTCGACCGAAATGGCCATCATCGGGAGGAGAAATATTTCTGCTTGCTGTTGGCAGTGAACTACAGAAATGAATATATATATATATACAGAAATGAATATATATATATATATATATTAATCTCTCTGGTTAATTAATTGTAGTATAATTATGTTTTGCATCGAGCCCATAGATGGGTATCTTGACATTGGGACAATTTTTCTTATGTAAACGTTCATTGAATACAAGGATCGAGAGCAACTTAAAGTAGAGGATTATTGAATGGCTTGTGCGTATTAAATGCTAGATGAGGTAACAGGAAGTGAAGATTATCACGATAATAAGGATAGACAACGATTAACCTTTGACCTGAAGAGATTAAGATTATAGTATTCAAGTAAGTATCCACGCAAAAGTTCGTTCCACAAAGTAGCACTTCCTGGGAGGAAAATGAAAAGAATTTCTTCCTTACAAATGGAAGAGTGTGTCTAAGAATTAAAAATAAAATTCTGTATTAAAAGCTGTCGTAGCTGTCTCGTAGCTTGAATCTTTCAGTTCCCTATTTTATGAATTGTTTCTGGTGGAGCCAGTGTTTTATTTACTAAGCTATGCTTGGCATAAGGCCACGATCTTGGGGTAACACATTGAGGACTGGACTAATCAATCATTAGAACGGTCAATTTGATTAGCATGCTTGCCATCACCCCATGACGAGGCACCCTAATGTTATTTACTAAGCTTTGTTTAGTTTGGCACAAGGCAGCAATTACTGGGAACTCTGGATGCATCGAAGTCAGTACCTATTGTACTGAGGCGGAAACATTATATTTAGATTTTTAGTATCACAAAAAATATATATGATTTCGAGACGAAAGCTTATGAACATGCATCTAGGCCTAGGAATTTTTTTGTTACACTTTAATCATAAAGATTAAAACAGATTTTCTTCTTTTTTTTAAAATATTGCCATGGTGGCTCATTAAACATTATTATTATTATTATTAATATTATTATTATTATTATTATTATTATTATTGTTGTTGTTGTTGTTGTTATTATCATCATCATCATCGTAATAATAATAATTATTATTAATAATAATAAGGGTGATGATGATGATAATAATAATAATAGTAATAATAATAATTGTAGTAGTAGTAGTAGTAGTAGTATAAAGGCAACTAGAGGTTAGTTGGGTTGACCATTACTACTGAGTAATGGGTTCGATACTCAATGGGTGCTCCATAAACAAAATCGACATTAATTAAGGTTGACATATACCAACCAACCTAACCTATTTATTTATTTATTTATTTATTTATTTATTTATTTATTATTATTATTATTATTATTATTATTATTATTATTATCGTTGTTGCTGTTATAAATAATAATAGTAGTAGTAGTAACAGAAGTAGTAGTAGTCATTGTTGTTGTTGCTGCTGCTGGTTCACTTGAAGTAAAAAATGATCCAGCATCTAGGCACGTCTTTCACTCAAATGCTCGCAGTTATTAAATGTGACTGACATTATTATCATCATCATCATCATCATCATCATCATTATTATTATTATTATTATTATTATTATTATTATTATTATTATATTTCAATTTCTGCTATGG